TTGGACTATATTTTTCTCTATAATCCAATAAATATGATTCTGGACAAACAACTTGTAAAGCGTAAGAGGCTGCCGCCCAGTGTTCAACCGTTAGGCCGATGTCAGACTTTGCGAATCGCGCGATTCGCTAGCGTCCGCGGTCGCGTTGCGGTACCAGCCAATTGAGTGATTCACTGGCCGCGACGCGACCGCGGACGCTAGCGAATCGCTCGATTCGCAAAGTCTGACATCGGCCAGTGTAGAATTTGTTGTAGCCTGTCCAATAGCTTATCCAAGAAGAGGCCGAAACGTGAGCCCAATGAAAGCTACTGTAATCTTGGACAGGCTCCAACAAATCCTACACATCGAACGAAATTCCATGCCAAGATTGAGAGATAAGTCGTTCTTGGACTATTCTGTTATAGGCCTTGTGAAGCATCAAACTAGGAATCCAAACAGAGAATGGAGAAGTGAACTATTTACAAGTTGTGGGTATGAACAAGACCGTTGAAAGGGTCGAACTGAGGAGGCCAAGCCTGGCTGGCTGACCAACTACAGGTCTCGCCTCAGGCATTGGCGTAAGGGTATAGATGTGCCGAACGGTCTCGTGATGCTTTCAGGACAGTCCTTTTATTTTTTCACTTGCTCTGCTATAAATGAAAAAAGCACCACTGACCTCACCGCCCAAAGCTATTAGCACTTTCCACGCTGTAGCTGTGTCCAAATTCGTGGCCATTGTATACCGTATCTAAAAAGTAAAGCTGACTCAGCAAATGAGAACTGTCGCTAATCATAGCAAAATGAAGGGAATACTCCGGCGCAGCTGTCAAACGGAATGGCTGCTGTCAACAGTTGCGCACACGATGTCATAATCATAGTCATGGTCTGCGATAGGCGTAAGACTTCGCGATTACAGTTGCGATCGCAGTCGCACGAGTCTTACACCTATCTCAGTAGCTCGTATTGGCAATTAAAGTGATCGGGAACTGCACGAAAAATCATACAATCAAATACCGCTCTTCCTCTACGCCGCACATGGCGTTGGCATACACTAACTTCTAACCTTCCATGGTCCCTTCTAGGGCCTACCTTCTGTTGGTCTGATTTCAAAATTTCTGCGACGCCTTT